GATATTATTCAAGCAAGGTTTTATACTTTAAAGTTAGTTTAAAATGTTGATAAAATCTAATTTATGTGGTTATCAAATTCTAGAACCTCTTTAGATAGTCCCATTGCTCTCCGAACTCTGCGAAGGAATTTGATCACATTAGTGTCGGAGTATAAATACACATTACATTTTACTTTACACATTAATTATTTGAAATAAAAATGAAAGAAGCTAGGGTTCTAATTTAGAAATAAGTTTTGCTCATTTCATTCATTGAAGAAACTTGAGTCTGCGACTTTCTTGCCAATTCTTGTCTATGGGGATGTAGTATATTAGCATGCTCCCTCCTTTCTTCTCGCTTCCCTGGATGCTGTCTATCATAGTGCCTTAAAGGGACAGTTCACTCAAAAATGAAAATTCTGTCATCATTTGCTCACCCTCAAGTTGTCCCAAACCTGTATGAATTTCTTTCTTCCGTTGAACACAAAAGAAGATATGTTGAAGAATGTTGGTAACCAGACAGTTGATGGACACCATTGATGACTTACATAGTAGGAAAAAAAATACTATGGAAGTCAATGGGGTCCATCAACTGTTCGGTTACAAATATTCTTCAAAATATCTTTGTCTTTTTATGTTCAACAGAAGAAAGAAATCTGTCTGTCTGTCAGATTTTTTGTGTGATGATGGCGTCTTAATGGTCTTGTCTCATGTAGATGGGTAGATGGAGTCTGGGGTGAAAGAGAGTGATAGAAAGTGAGAAAGAGGTGTGAGAGAGATTGTGTGTGTGGTGGGGGGGAGGGGAACAGATGGTTTCCTCAGTCTGACTGAGATGTTTCTCTGGCAAATTGATGCTTTGAGATGATAATGATGATGGTGTGTGTGTGTGTGTGTGTGTGTGTGTGTGTGTGTGTGTGTGTGTGTTCATGTTTATATTACATTGTGGGGACCAAATGTCCACACAAGTATAGTAAAACCTGAGATCACCTATTGTGGGGACCAGCCAGCGGTCCCCATGAGGAAAACAGCTTTTACATCATACTAAGTAAAAATGTAAAAATGTTTCCTGTGATGGGTAGGTTTAGGGGTAGGGCTAGTATAAGGGGATAGAATGTACAGTTTGTACAGGATAAAAATCCTTACGTCTATGGAGAGTCCCCAGATAGTGCACCAGACGTGTGTGTGTGTGTGTGTGTGTGTGTGTGTGTGTGTGTGTGTGTGTGTGTGTGTGTGTGTGTGTGTGTGTGTGTGTGTGTGTGTGTGTGTGTGTGTGTGTGTGTGTGTGTGTGTGTGTGTGTGTGTTCAGGGTCATTTGCACAATCTGTGATCAGGATCTATGTAAGAATGTATATTTGTTGAACAGCAGCTGATTGAACACACTGAGACTTCAAACATGATGAAGAAAAGTGTCCTGCTGTATTTGAGACACATAAAGGCATCTAATTTAATATTTTGTTATAATAAAATGGAATTCAGACATTGGAATATGACTTAAGAGTCCGAATACTTTGGCGTCACTGTATCTGTATTTAAATGTCCAACCAGTTGCTTATGATTTCTGATGCCTGACTTGATTTCTCTTCATCTTCAGAGTCTTCCTCGAGGAGAGTTTTGTTTTAATATTCAGGTGTTCCAGCGCCATGTTTTGCCTCTTGGCACCCCCTGCTGTCAGAATGAGTGAGCAGCCTGTGTGTGTGTGTGTGTGTGTGTGTTGTATCAGAGCCCACCTGTGCTAAACACACATCACACTCCACAGCAGATGGTGACGGTTGACCAACAAGTCTGAAAAATATGGCCTGTAAACTAGAGTTAAACATTCACACTTACAATCTGTGTAGACTGTGTTTTAATTCTCCAGTGAACAGAGGTGTGTGTGTGTGTGTGTGTGTGTGTGTTTGACGGCAGCATCAGACTAATTCATGTTTATTAGAGTCTGAGCAGATCCTCAGGCTTAAAGTCCCCGTGAACCGGAAGTTGCAAACGACTTTTCTCCAGTGTTGTGACGTATTTCCGAGAGAAACGGAATACTAAATGAGGCAAAATGGTGGGCGTGGCTTTTCCCCCAACTAGCACCTGATTGGATCTAGAAAAGTAGGTGTTTTCATTCAGCCTGTCTACTGTCAGTTGGAGGGGCGTGATTACGGATGTTAAGAAGACGCCCAAACCGTGAAACCTACGTCATCAGGCAAGGTCCTCCAATGCAGAGGGGAGGGGAAATTTCAGATTTTGATTAAAGATTACGAAGCCAAAAAATTTTTTTTTGTGGATTGACTTGCATGGATGAATTGTTCACCACAAAACGATCAATTTAGGCAAACAAAGTAAGTATGGTCAATTTTGAATTCATGGGGACTTTAAGACAGACCGGATGAACAACACAACATCAGAAACACATAGGCCTAAAGACAAATGCACAGGTTCATATTTCACTCCAAAAACAAAAGAAAGGAAATAGGAAATCATATTAAAGAATTTTGGACATTATTTTACCATTTGGACATATTTGCACATTATTATTCTATCATAACCATTATTATTGGAAATTAATTACGTGAGATACACTATTAGAATTTTATCATCTTGAGATGGTTGACAAAAAATAAATCTCAAAAGAAAAATTTGATAATTTATAGTTTAGCAGATATATTTTTAGGGAAGGCTTATAACTGTTAAATAAATGATATATCATTTTGAGGACACATGGTTCCAGTTCTGATTCTAGGTGGTGCTGTATCTAAACAAAACATCTAAGCTGTTGAACTGTGTGTTGATATTGACCTTTAAATAACCAGCATCAGCAGCGATTTTGGTCATTTTCTCCACTTTTCAAAATATAGTCTGATAATGGCTGCATGTGGCTATTAGACTAATGCCTAATATCTGCATTGTTAAAGTCACCATGAAATCTACATTTTTATGGAATATTGCAGTACTTATTATAAATGATTTATTAGTGCACATCATTATTGTTTTAAATTTATGTTCCTGGTGATCTTGAATCAGAATAACTTCCTCTCACAGCATCTCTTCTCTTCTCTGATGACGAGGGCAGGGCTATAACCTGTCACTCACATGAGATCAGCCAATAGCAAACCACAACCATCCAATCAATTCCTCACGGACACAATCAAGCCCCGCCCACATTTGTTCTTCATCCAGAAGCGACTGGAAACTGGAAACATGTTGCTTTGTGTGTGTGTCCCTCTGATGTGTGGCTCTGCTTCAACTGTCACGTCTGTCCACTTAACTCTTTGTTTTTCCTGTGTCTCTCACTTGTGTCTCCTGCCGTCTGTGCCGTATGCCATCCCTGGCTGCTCTTTCACATCTAGATAAGGCAGGATTTTGGTCCATATAAAGCTTAAAGCTCGTCTCCTGAAGGCAGGTTTTTGCAGGAGTGACGCCACGGCGCAGACGGTCTGGGCAATCAAGCGATTCAATCCGATTTACCTCCATGAAGCCCATCTGTGAGCACAATCCTGGCATGTGATGAGAGAGAGAGATGGGTTTAAGAAAAATTGTGTCACGTGTTATACCACAATCATTCTGAATGATGATCAAAAGGAAGAGTAAAACTACAGGAAGGAGTGACTTAATGGGGTGTGTGTGTGTGTGTGTGCGTGCGTGCGTGCATGCTTGTACAACTATCTTTGAAAAGGACCAATTTGAGTTTTAGACTATCGGATGGAGGACAAAGAGAGTAAAATGACGACATTTTGGCTGGTCATCACTTTCTGACACCACCTTAAAGGCCTGTTTGAGGGTCAAGACTTGGCTTTAGGGATAAGGTTATAATTAGGTTAAGGATAGGTTTAGGGTAAAGGTTCAGGTTAGGAACTTAGTTGTGTTGGGTAAGGTTAGGGTAAGGAGCTAGAGTTGGGGCAGTCGTAGTCTCGTGTCAGACCTTCAGACTGATGGCAGAAGGTCTGGACTCCATAGCGGCTTTCATTGGCCAAGGACCGTCTGACTGACATGCAAAGAAGCCAATCACAGTTCGTCTTGTTTCATGTCATGTTTAGGGGCGTGAAAATGTAACGTCGATGTCCCTACAACAACAGACCGGTGTGTAAAACTCTTGAACGTATTATAAAGAGTCTGTGCCGCGAACTTTACATACTTCACATTCTTTTGAAACCCAGTGTTTAGTTGATCCTGATAAGCGCTCATTATCACAGTTGTAAACATGACAGCGTTCTTCTTCCATGAGGGGGTTTGGCATCATGGCATCTTTGTTTCCAGGCGGACCGTTAAAGAACACGACACACATCTCCTGGAAATCCCGTACAATTCAATCAATCAGATGACGACTTCAAAACTGCTGAAGTGTTTCCAGATAAGTGTGCCATATCCCTCAGACGTTGAGGCATCTGAGGCTGAGACTAGGGCCGTCGTAGCCTAATGGTTAGAGGGTCAGACTGGTAACCCAAATGTTGTGGGTTTGATTCTCAATACAGGCAAGAAATGACTGAGGTGCTCTTGAGAAAACTCACCTAACCCCCAATTACTTCCTGGGAGCTAAAATGGCCCCGGGTGTGTGTGTTAACGGTTTGCAGTGTGTGTGTTCGCTACTAATGTGTGTGCACACTAATGTGTGTGCACTAACTTGGATGGGTTAAATGCAGAGGACAAATTCTGAGTAGGGGTTACCATACTTGGCCTTCACTTCATTAATGTTACTAATTGCATTGTGGCTAAGTACAATGCATGAGTAGATTATTGGTTTCTTTTATGTAAATTCCATGCATCACTATTAGTAGTAATCATAAATAAGTTAACACTCAGCAACCACAAACTCTGTAAAAAAAAAAAAATGGATAAAAAAATGGTGTATGATTTACTTTGAAATAATTTTCTCTCAGAAAATGCTAGTAAATTTCACAAATAATTAATGAAAAAGTGAAATAGCATAAAACGAACTCCAATAATCCTTGTTTGATCATCAAAAAATCATCATCTTTTAAGTGTATATTCTGACTCTTTCTCCATATGAATCTATATTCAGATTTTTGTCTGCTTTTCTCCAGGGTTTCTGTTTCTTCCCGGTGGACTCATGCTCCTCATCTAGGGTGGGGGGGCATCGCCCCATTTTGCCATGAAGGGCTACACCCCCCAACGCACCCGTCACCTGTCCAACTGCGAGCCGCCCCGTTCCCCCAGTCATCGGGACCCCCTGTACCCCCCGTCTGCCTCCTCCACCCTGTCTCGCACCCCGTTCCACGTACCACCAGCCATGGACCACTACGGGACCCTGGACCCGCACCACTTCTCCCCGTCGCCCGGCCCGGGAGGTCTTCCGCCTGACTGCCTGATGCCCCTCAACAACCAGCTGTCCTCCAGCAGCACCTTCCCCCGGATCCACTACAACTCGCACTTTGATCAGGGGGAGTTCGGTCACTCGGCGGCCGACAGTATCGGGGGAATCAGCACAGGGACGCTGGGGACGTCGATGTCCATGGGAATGGGTCTCGGAGTGGGACGGACCGCCATGATCACCAGCGGATCCGCAACTATATCAGGTAAGAAAATGTCTTGGAAATTGTGTTTCAGTCAGTTTAGGGCATTGTTCTTCTACTGTTACTCTTGTGTGTGGGGTTCCTCAGGGTTCTATGTTGGGACCAATTTTATTTTCCCTTTATATGGCCCATATAGGTTCTGTTTTTGAGAAATTTGGGATTCACTATCATCTGTATGTGGATGATTCCACTTACACATACATGATTACACGAAGGGTTACACATACATGATTACGTTGATTATGATCAGGGATGAAATTAACTTTTTCACTCAACGGCCAATTTGGCTATTAAATATTTAGGTTACCGGCCATTCAGAACTTCGACTGGGCATAAATGTGCCATTCAGTCCCTGCACGAATGTTTGACTGAGGTTAAGTGCTGGTTGGCGAGTTGAGAAACTTAAAAGTTGATCTGAGAAATAAAATTGGGTAACACTGGACAATAGATGTTATTCGATCTGCGTCATCAATGTTTGCGGCGGCCATATTGTTGACATAGAAACCACGGCAACTGTCAGTCTGTCAATTGACAAGCGAGGCAGCGTCGGTATTATCCATGGTATTATCACTGTATTTTTTTTTTTAAACAGCGTGATGGTGTGTTGTGTAATACACGGCTGTTCTAACAACAGCAATAAGAACCCCGGAGTTAGTTTTTATGCGATAAGTTACCGACTGTCAGAAAACTTGAAGGGAAGGAGACAGAGTTGAGCCAGCGCAGGAGAGGCTAGGATAAATAGGCTAAAGTTTCAGCCAACTCCCAACAGAAAAGTCTGTTCCCATCATTTTACCACAGGTTTCACACATAATCCGTGTGCAATGCGTGTGCGGTGCGTATACAGTACAGAAGCAGGACGCGCTATACTTTATATGCTGCGTTTGCAGTGCGTAACTGATCCGCGGCTGTACCACAAACACCCCGGTGCTCACTATTTTTATTTTAACACATACTCACTATTTCAACAACGTAAGCCAATTCTTCCATGCATTACTTCTATATATTAAGTTGCTCAAGCAAGTGGTCAAATATGTAACCATGTACTTATATTAAAATCGCAAACATTTTAAATGAAAACTTAAAATTGACAAAAACAACCGACTCATGCCTTTTCTTTTGTATTTACATTTTAATACAACAAATCTGGCATGTCACAAAGAACTTGTTTTTCCACCTCTACGAATGAGACGAGTGTCGTTCATTATGTTTCCTTGTTGAGGTAAATTGTAGTTTGTATACGTTACGGATACTGTACGAGATAGTTATAAATATCCGGATAAGTTACGGCTGGCAATACGGACGGATCTTTACTTAAGCTTGATTGGTGTGGACCCACATCAAATAATAGCATTATCTTCTCTTGATACCGACGAGATTAAGCCAGGCTACTGCTCCCCTCAACTCAAATCTGCGCGCGGTTAGGGGCAGCAGGACAGATGTCATGTCAACAATATGGCCGCGGTTAGCTACTTCCGGTGTTTGCGAATAAGGTCTATAAGGTTCATAAGTTAACATTAGTTAATGTATTAACTAACATGAACTAACAATGAGCGACACATTTGTTACAGCATTTATTAATCTTTATTAATGTTAGTTAATAAAAATACAGCTGTTCATTGTTTGTTCATGTTAGTTCACAGTGCACTAATTAATGTTTACAAATTCAACCGTTGATTTTAATGATGTATTAGTAAATGTTGAAATTAATATAAATGTTGAAGAAGTACTGTTCATTCTTAGTTCATGTTATCTAAGGCAGTTAACTAATGTTAACTAATGAACCTTATTGTAAAGTGTTACCCAAAATGGTCTTCTACATGACTTCTTCTTTTCACATGTAAACCTCGCTCTCCTGACCTCAAGAGGCGCAGTAGTGACTGACTGCAGTCTTTAGCGTCCTTGTTAGCGTGCCCATCTCCAATACCAATATGATTACGTTGATTATGATCAGGGATAAAATTAACTTTTTCACTCTACGGCCAATTTGGCTATTACATTTTTAGGTTACCGGCCATTCAGAACTTCTACTAGCCAAAGAAAATGGCTATAATAAGTAAACCAGATTAACTACGTCACACCGTGTATATATATATATATATATATATATATATATGTTTTAGGTGGACAGATCAATGCCGGACAAAGAACATCAATAACTAAATGCTTTTTGATATTCTCTAATGCTTCAATGCAACTAAACAAGCGCGCCGCTATTTTTTGCGCAGTGACGTGAATGTTCGAGCAGATTCTGTGCAATTCCCCGTATTTAATATATCATGATCAAATCTGCACAGATTTGGCTTACATGAATGTCCCTAGCAAAGTGAGTTTACATAATAAGTAACACAGCAAATTGTCTAGTGATTTGACAGTGTTGCACACCACTGTAGATTTGTACCTGCATTTGGCGGGTGTTAATTTCAAACCCTGATTATGATTAATGTGAATAGAGTTCTTCCTGATTATCGACTCTCTTTCTCTTTTGGCGTTTAGGGGCCGGAAAGATGAACCGGTTGCCACCAAACCTCATGAACCAGTTTGAGAAACAGCTTCCGGGACAACAGGACGGCTTCAGCACATTACAGTACCATCGCAGCACCGCCGTCACAGCCACGAAACAGCAACAACAGCAGCGCACGGACAGTCCGGGAAAAATACGCTATTTAGTTCACTCCGTCCAGAAACTTTTCGCTAAATCTCAGTCGCTGGAAAACTCCGCCATCAAGGGTAACGTGAACGGTCGCAACAGCAGATCGTCAGGCAGCGAGGACAAACATCATCGGAGTAAAAGCAAAGACCGGGCGAAGAGCGAAGGGACGGCCAAACGGAGGCCTCGGTCCAATATGTCCGGATACTGGAGTTCTGACGATTTGGACAGCGATATAAGTAACTATAGAAACCCCATGGCTATGATGACTTTGGGCCGGCAAGGGGTGGGATCGGGACCGGGGCCGGAGGGCCAAGTGGCGTCCAGGTACTTCATGCAGGGCTACAGCACCATCAGCGAGCACACGCTGAAATCTTCAAAGAGTAACAGTGACCTCAAGCACCAGGGGCTCCCGGCACTCCCGGGTCCTGGAGGTGTTGGTGGCGGTGGAGGAGGGAGAGGGCCGGTTTTTGATGGGAACTTTAGTAAAGCGGGACCCTGGTCCACGCTTACGTTAGGACCCTCCAGGCAAATGTGCCACAAGGGATCCGCCACGCTGGATCGAACCCTCCTGAAGTCCAAGTCCGTCCAGCAGGATCTGGGCTGCCACTTACTGCAGGTGCGAGGGAGGGTGAGTGCATGGATTAAACACAGTTAAGGTCCTTGCACACTGAGTCAATGTGTTTTTTCGCATTTGTCATTCGGTGGCTCTGAAGTGTCAAAACACCTCTCGAAATGCTTGCTACCATTGCGAGCAGAGGCCGTGTTTCTTTTTTAACTTTTTTAATGAGAATTGTGTGCAAGGATCTTTATTGTGCTTACTGTGGTGGTATCAAACCTCAGTAGACAAGGGAGCAGAGTGTCATTAGATAAGCTGTGTCAAACCCAAAGTATATACTGCAGTTTTAATATGCTCATGGCAATGTTTATTTGCTTAGGGGTAAAAAGAAGATATACCTTTGCTATGTTGAACTGTTAGGGAACATCTTAATGCTGGAAGCAGCATTAAGATGAATGTGTATACATGTGTTGCACGCTTTCCTCTCAATAACAAAAGCACAGCAAAAATGTTTGTCTGATGGTGTTCTCTGGTGTTTGTCCAGATGCCCTCCACCGAGTGGCCCGGGACTCTGGGCAGAAGCGTTCCCATGGGTGAGATCCCCTGTAGACGGATGCGTAGCGGCAGTTACGTGAAAGCCATGGCCGACCTTGAGGATAGCGACGACTCCGATATGAGTCCCAAACCCTCACCGAAAAGCACCGCTCGGAGGCAGAGCTACTTACGCGCAACACAGCAATCACTAAGTGACCAGTTCCCCTCAAGAAAGTAAGTGCACATGTTTAACACACACACACATATTATTTTTCAGTTCTTTACAAACTGTTAATACAATGTATGCCAGTGTTAATACAAAACCCCAGTGACCTGTTTCTGTGCCGAAGGCTGGAGATATAATAGGGTACAAACACAGAAACACACACTGGTTTTCTGTCACGACGCCAAAGACGGCGTCTGAGATGTGAGCTGCGTTATTTCATGCCTTCTGTATCCGGATGAGTTTTCCTGTGTTTATTTCTCACACAAACACACTCAGAATCCAGCTGTGCTTGTTCATGTGCTAGATTAAGCACAGCTAGTCTCTCTCCCTCTCCATATGCTGTACTTCTCCACAACCGTTCTCCTGCTCGCATGTACAAACAAAAAAACAGCAAAGCTCCTAAACTGTGAGTTAGTGGACATGAAGTCTGCGTGGCCACCGTCAGCAATGGAGGGTTTCCCCCCCACAGGTATCTGGTAAAGATCAGATTTTTGTAATGTAAATACATGTTAATCTCAAAAACGCATATGAGTTGTTTCATTCCAGCATGAGTCTCAAACTGATGTTTTGTATAAATTGTAAAACATTTATTATATTGGTTGTGGTGCCTTTCATTTATGCTGATTTAAATGAATTGATACATCTGTGCAGGATGAATCTCGTTGCATAGTACAACGACCCCAGTGCTATTTTAGCTAAATAAAGTATTTGACTAAATATATGGTACTTATTGATATTTTGAATTAAATTGTATTTTTATATTTTCAGTTTTCCTTTTTAATTTTACTTCAAGTTTTAATTATTTTATTTTATTTTTAATTAGATTGATGCCATTGCCATTCATATTTCTATTTAGCTTTACATTTACATTTTTACATTTACATTTAGATACATTTTTTCATCTATTTATATTTCAGCTTGTTTTATAGTTTTAGTTTTATTTAACAATAATAAAATACTGAAACATTCTACAAATATACTTAATTTTCAGTATGAATTTACACCATTTTTTAGGTTTTGTGATAAAGTATGACTGGGAGGACATGTTTTTTTGTGAGACTGACCCTACACCTCTGACCGTCCACTCCTAACCCTGATTTAGGCTGTGTTCACAATAATATACTAGCTTATTGCTTACTGAATAGTGTGCAGTATACACTGTAGTCTGATTGCTATTTTTAATAATAGTAAATAAAACATTTAAATTATGTAAACATTATTAAACTTTGAAAAAAGGTAAATTAAACATTATGATACAAATAATGCTTCAAACATGCTACATTGTTGTCACATGACCTCATCACGATGCAAGTGAGAAACATCCAATTATCGTGTTAGTTAAATTTGGTTTAAAAAATATCTTTCCCAGTTCAGTCAAATAATGATTGACTGCTGGTTCATTAATCATTGCACTGTGAGCAAATATAGTATGTTATTCAGGGATTCAATGCATACAGAAAATTTGCATATAGTCCTTTAGACCGCTGTGAAAACGCAGACAGCTACAGATAAAAAGTTCCTGGGACAAATTGTTCCGGGTAATTTCGGTGGAAACGCGTCTAGTATGCTGTTCTGAGCATAGCCTTTGTCTCTCTGTGTGTTTTCCCCATTAATAAGTTTCCCTTCTTTTGAATTCTGCACTCAAAATGGCTCAAACTTCTTGGTTTGAAGCCCCGCCTCTTCTAGTTTAAGCACCTCCCACTTTCTGTACTAAAGCTCCTCCTCGTTCCCCACCCCCGTCTTACCCTGCACCCCTGCCTTCTCTCCAGCCGTCTGCTGGATTACTCGATGCTTCAGGGGGATCTGGAGGCTCTCTGGTCCCCCCTCCGTAACATTACTACCCTGCACCAGATCGGGCGCTCTGTCAGGTTGGTGACCGACTGGAGGAGTCGACGCACCAGCGCTGCTTTCCTCAAATCCTCTCACATTAGGAGTGCTGATTGAAAATTGGTTTACTATTGGCCCAGACTCATTGATGAAACAGTTCTCCTACTCTGAGATGTTTAGTCTCTGAGGTTGCTTTCTCCGTACTGCCCATTTGTGGACGAGTGGGATTTAATGTTGGGGTTTTGGCTGCATTGCAGACTAATGGGATTTGGGGAGAGAGAAAGCTTCCTCAGAGTTTGTAAGCTCTGCTAATGCTCATCCTAACTGCTATACAAGCTCTGATAAGACGATGAGTGGAAACGGTACTTTGCTGATTGGTCATTAGCAGTGTCGCTTCAGTCTGATTGGATAGTGTGTTTGATCTCTCTATGCAGCAATTTTCAGGTCTCAAGTGGTCACCAGACTAATGACACCAATCAGCCTGGATGGATGGATGGGTGGATGATTAAAAGAATGGATGGATGTTTGGATTGATGGATGGATGATTGAATGGATAATTGGAGGAATGATTGGAGGGATGGATGGATGGATGAATGATTGAATGGGTGGATAGATGATAGATGGATGGATGGATGGATGAATGATTGAATGAATGAATGAATGGATGGATGGATGGATGGATGGGTGAATGATTGAATGGATGGATGGATGGATGAATGATTGAATGGATTGATGGATGGGTGAATGATTGAATGGATTGATGGATGGGTGAATGATTGGATGGATGGATGGGTGGATGGATGGATGGATGGATGGATGGATGGATGGATGGATGGATGGATGGATGGATGAATGATTGAATGGATTGATGGATGGATGAATGATTGAATGGATTGATGGATGGGTGAATGATTGGATGGATGGATGGATGGATGGATGGATGGATGGATAGATGATTGGATGGATGATTGGAGGGATAGATGGATGGATGGATGGATGGATGAATGATTGAATGGATGAATAGATGGATGGATGGGTGAATGATTGAATGGATGGATGGATGGATGGAGGGATGGATGGATGAATAGATGATTGGATGGATGATTGGAGGGATAGATGGATGGATGGATGAATGATTGAATGGATGAATAGATGGATGGATGGGTGAATGATTGAATGGATGGATGGATGGATAGATGATTGGATGGATGGATGGATGGATGAATGATTGAATGGATGGATAGATGGGTGAATGATTGAATGGATGGATGGATAGATGATTGGATGGATGGATAGATGGGTGAATGATTGAATGGATGGATGGATAGATGATTGGATGGATGAATTGATGGATGGATGGATGGATGGATAGATGGATGGATGGATGATTGAATGGATGGATAGATGGATGGATGGGTGAATGATTGAATGGATGGATGATTAGAAAAATGAATGGCTGATGGATGATTGGATGGATGGATGGATGAACAGATGAATAGATTCATTGTTTAAACAGAAAACTGGAAATATATTACATGTCCTAATAAATAAATATGTCTTCAGTAGTGGCGTTACAGCTTCACCATTTCCATTTGCTTTTGTCTAGTAGTAGATCAGGGGTTTTCAAACGTCTGGATGCCATGGACCCCCAAATATGATGGCCCTCCTGCATACATTTAAAAGGCGTCTATAAAGTTTATTGTATAAAAGTTCAATATTAATTTACAAATATGTTAAAATATTATTTGAAAAACATTTGTATGTTACACTTAATAATTTGTTTTACTCATTATGGTACTGTACTATCAAGTTTATTTATTTAAATCTATTATATATTAATAATATGTATTTATTTGTTTATTTAATTATGTTCTCATTTATTTACTTATTTTAATGTATTTTAATTGATTTATTTCAATTTATTTTTTTAAATCTCTCTCATGTCCAGGGCCCCTGAGCTCCCCCTTGTGGCCTCAGTTTGAAAACCCCTGCAGTAGATTCTAGAGTTCCCTCATCTGACCGTTCTCTCATCTCCTGCCTGTTCTTCTCTCCCCCTCCCGTCCTCAGCTGTCTTCCTTCTCTGCGAGAGTACTCTGGGAATCGCAGTCTGGATAACCTGGACTGCATCGGAGGCGGTTCTCCGTTCCCAAACTGGGATGACGATGACCAGTTCAGTCAGGGCTGCAGCACACTGGGACGCGGCAGCTCCATCAGTCAGGTCAGAAAGTTCATCAAGTCAAGTCAGCTTTATTTATACAGCGCTTTTTACAATACAGAGTGTTTCAAAGCAGCTTTACTGTGATAACAGCAAAATAAAGCAACAAAGCTTGTTTCTAGAAGAAAATAGCGTCACAGTCCAACTTAAGTGAGTTCAGTGATGGTTCATTTTTGTTGTAAAAAAGTTATTAATTTAGTTAATTTATATATATATATAGCCGCTCTGGAGAAAACCGTGATGTCATCGTCCAGCTCAGTTCAGTTCTCATTCTTCGTCCTGCCTCCTTTTCATCATGGTTTTATAAATGATATATATGAGGATGATGAAGTAAGTTAATGGAAAATATCAATGAATGAAATAAACATAATCAATCAATATAATGGTGTAAATGCAGGCAGATCGATAATATTGTTGAATATTAAATTAAATGTCCCCAACTAAGCAAGACAAAAGCGAAAAAGGCGACAGAGACAATAAAACCAAACCTCCATCAGTGACACGGACTGAGCAGAAAATCATCTGAAGCATCATAATTACATTCTATCAGAGTATAGAGATTAATACCCAACAAAAAGCAATTTGCACTGAAAATAATGTCTTTCTGTTAAATAACTTCATTAATGGGCTGAGTTATCTGTGTGTCACTTGTGACCTTTGAGATTATCACTGCGAAAGATGAGAAACCTTGCACATGAATCAGCTAAATGGCTAATTAGTAACTGAGCAGATAAAAATGCTCTAGTCTCATGAGGTTTTCGAATGCATGCACCCGCCAATCACACTGTGCACACATTAATGTTCGTTTTCAATCATGCCACATTTCCCTCCGCCGTCCCACCAGATGCGAGACATGGATTTGAGCCGGCATTACGGAGATGAGTTGGAAGACATGCATCCTCACTCCCGATGCGCTGAGCCTCCTGATATGCCCATGCCCACATGCTTCCGGTCCCGCAGCCACAGTTACCTTCGTGCCATTCAGGCGGGGTGTTCTCAAGACGACGACGACACGGCATCCATGGATTCCGATTCACCGCCGCCCACCGCCACCACAACCGTACGCACCTACAGCAACAGCACCGGTGAGTGACCACACACAGTCTGACCACAATAAAGAGAATAAAACACCTCTGGATGGTTTCTGTCACAAGAAGAAGAAAACTGGATTTCAAGAATTCATGCATCTGTTAAAGGGGTGGTATAATGTCCTTTTCACAAGATATAAAATAAGTATTGTATGTCCCCAGAGTGTGTTTGTGAAGTTTTAGCTTAAAATACCCCACAGATATTTTTATATAGCATGTTAAAGTTGTCACTTTTTGAGGGTGAGCAAAAACGCACCGTTTTTGTGTCTGTCCCTTTAAATGCAAATGAGCTGCTGCTCCTGGCACAGGGGGCGGAGCTACAAAAGCTTGTGTCTTTTTACCTCAGACAGACATGCACTGAAAATTTCAAAAACTTTTAGCGTTTTATGTTCAAACCGGAGTCAGACAAAGATGGAGAGACTCGAGAAGGAGTGACAACATGTAGAAGCAAAAGGAGATTTCTGAATGGTTAGTTGATGAATTTATTTAGCTTATGTTTAGTTATCTTCTAGTCAGTGATTAGCATATTCTGTCATGAGAATCTATAAATCGTGTTCAGGGGGCGGGGTTTATGTAAATTTTAGGGTTAGTGATGTCACTAACCCGGGAGGACTGTCGTGTACCAGCCGTTTGTTGTAGTCCTTAAAAAGCCTTTTCTTTAAAATAACATATCTTTGAGCGTCATAACTTTGCATATGTTGTTTATGCTCAAACAGCAACATTACACAATCATAATCAACCACCTCTTTAAAATTGAACATGCAATGTATAGTACAGCAACAATGTTGTTGATCTAATGACACAAAATAAGCTGAAGTGCAATAAAGTTTGAAATGCAAAAGTCAGTCATTCAAAAGTTTGTATTTTAAGCACTTTTTATTTTTATTATATGCACAAACATTTCCCGGCATAAATAAACACACATTTTGTGACAGCCTGCCCCAACAGCGGCTCATGCTTGTCCCACTATTTATGGTTATTTGTCATTATGGAACTGCCCATTAAACAGCCTTTTCAGTCAAACTAATCATTAATCATTAAAACAATTATGAAACATAAGAACATACGAAGCATATGATATCTAGCCCCGGTCTTCCATGTGCCATGGACTCGGTGACAAAATCTCCCTTTAGGTTTGATGTTTGTTTTTTTGTGTCTAATGTAAATTTATGTTGCTTCATTATTTATTCAGAATATTTATGTATTTATTTTGAATGTTGCTTCCTTTTGTGAAATGTGTTGGGGGTGGTTATATACTCTGCTAAATTATATAGCTAATGTCTAATGTGTTTTGGGTTTTTTGTATGCAACTGCATAACATGAAATAGAGAGAGAGAGAGAGAGAGAGAGAAAGAGAGAGAGAGAGAGAGAGAGAGAGAGAGAGAGCCGCCCCCTCTCCATTTCATTCACTTCTATTATCAGAACGGGGCGGGCTCTAGTATTTCCGTCACACATTTAAGAGGCGGGATCTAGCGGTCTGTTGACCAATCGCCTACACGCAACAAATGACTGACAGCTCGTTTGTCGAATGGCGATTGCCGATGCGTTGTTTCCTTCAACAATACTCCGCTGCATGTCACGAAGGCGTTTCCACGCAGTTCTTTCTTTCCGCGACGTGGACGCTCTTATGATGATGGTGATGATGGTGCGTTGATATAAATCTCTTTATATGCGCGAAACAGCGACGAGTTGAGCATCGTTTCCAGCGCAAGAGCAGGTGAGAACCAGATCCTTCTGTTCATATGATGCGGAACGAGATTAACGCACGAATACATTCACACATGTGAGTTTTTGCTTTAGAATTGTGGTATTCTTTAATATGGCAAATTATTTAACGTATTTTCCAATTATATTTCATGTCCAACTATTGTATTTCTCCGTGGGATTGATAATGATTGTAATAATAACAAGTGCTATTATTAATTTAAAATAATAACATTTTATTGTGATAATTTATAATTGTTTTATTTATATGTTATTATACAGACTATTACTATAGTGCTTGTTTTTTCTCCACATTTATTTAGAACTACAGTTTATCAATGACACACACTCACTCTCTCTCTCTCTCTCTCTCTCTCTCTCACACACACACACACACCCTAATGCAGCTCAGTGTTCCCATAACAGTTGTCATGAGTTTCCATGGGGAAGTATCATCTGTAATGGGACTTAAGAGAGCTGATGATGACTTCTCGAAAGCAGTTGAACTTGACCACCCTGTCAGACAGGAGTGTTTATCATTACAGCAATGAAGAGGTTTTACATTACACACATCGCTCTAGTTAAAGGTGTCTCTTTGCATTTAAAGGCAGGGTAGGCGATTTGTTCCCGGAAACATTTTTTTTGTTATGCTGGTTGAAAGTCTCTTAATATCCTGATAGCAATCACTAAGTTAAGTGGTCTAAAGGTATTTATATATGTATATATATGGTCTGTGGAAGGCGTAGGACTTTAAAATGTTCGTCCAATTCGGACCGAATGCAATAATGCAATGTCCTACCTGCCTGTCACCGTCTGCATTTCCATACCTCCGCGCTCATCAGCGCGTTTCATGGTATGCAGAATTAGACAGACGTCAGTCGCCGAGCACCACAAACGAAACAGCAGCTGCCTTTCACCGTTCCTCCTGAACCAAAGTAATGAGCTTATGCTGCGTTCACGCAATAACTACTGTAATTCGGAAGAGATGGAAACCAGTGATGTTATACACACACACTGTGCGGTTCGTGACTCAAATGTATGCGTTGTCAACTCTATCAACGATGAAATTAATCTGCAGCAGTCAGGTGGTACAGGTCAGTGCTCTTTAAGGTGATTACGTTCATTATTATTGTAATGTTATGTGCTTTGAGACATTAGGTAATTTAACGCACTCTCTCGTGATGCTTTTGTTTGCTCCCTGCTGTATCCGTTCATGTGTTTTGAAGGAGGCGTGGCTTTGGAGACGCTCTGAAGAGAGGGTGGGATCTTACGCTTTCAAAGCTAACTTGCTATAGCTAGCCGCTTAGAAAATTGCCTACCCTACCTTTAATTGCTGTGCAACGCTCTGAAACGGGTTCATTCATCTGCGTCGCTGATAACAGGGCTTGGAGAAAATTATACATACTAGAGATCATAAATGCAGTCTGATTGAGGGGCTGATGTTGTTTTACACAAACAGGACACCCTTATATTCCTTTCAGATGTTTTCTGTGAGCATCTATAAGAAGCGCTCTCTTGATGTCTAGCTTTTGTATAATGTTTTGTAGTGCACTTCCGGAAATGCAACAAAAGACATTCAAAGTGAGTTTCATCAGTCCAGTGAGTTGGATAAATAGTCAGCCAACTCCCAGGATGTTTGTGCTGAAACAATGAAACAATGCACCTAGTGTTTTCACAATGACCGACCTGCATAAAGCATGTTTCTCCAGCATCTTCCATGGCATGGAGCCTAACAGGATTAATATTTTAATCGTGATCATGGTTTCTGCGTCTCTTGGTTAGTAGCATAATCGTCTGTGATATTGGCCTGCTGGTTATTTAAACTCAAAATATTTTTTAATTTGATATTTCCATTATCTTGCATCAGTTGACATTGGATTCAATATTAGGAATTTAGTTTTAGCTTTTGAGAGAAGCTTTTTAAGGTTTTACCAGGTCTCAGTGCATTCATATATGATATAATAAATCAGGAAACTAGATGAGGTAAATAAATCCTGTGTATGAATCGACATTGACTACGTTTACATGCAGCCAATTTTCGGGTTAAGGTCACTATTCGGGTTTCTGAAACATTAGGAATAACCCGTTTACATACGTGAGCAGAGAGAGTTACTCCTGTTTACATGGAATTGCAATATCCCGATGTAAACGGCGACGGTTAGCGTCTGGACGTACGGACAACACAATATGCGTCGATCATTTCCGATTCTTCTTCCTCTATCCAAAGATAACAACAACAGCAGCAGCACGCGGATAATGTATAGTGATCGCCTTTGTTTGCGCTTTGGTGCTGGTACTGACCCACCAGCAGCACTTGACACTACTGTGCCTCATGGTCTTCATTAATAGAAGGAGAGAAAGTGAGCAAGAAATGGGAAATGTAGCTGGAGCTGTGCCACACTTATCCACGATACCCGTTACCACCGCTGTGCTGCGTCTCGCCATGTTTACTTCCGGTATACTGCACGCGGGTTTTTGTATGCGTCGATAACTTAAGTTCCTCTACTCAAAAGACCAAGATTCCTTGCGAATAGAACATGCGCAGAACACAAATCTATGTTTCTTTTGATGGGGAAATGCCGATACACGTTTACATGACCAAAAATTAGAAAAGGGGTACCCCAGGTATAATATCCCGGTTTTTAAAATCCGGGATATGAGCATATTCGGGTTTTTGCCGGTGTTTACATAGCCGTGCGTGACCGGGTTATTGCTAATATCCCGGTTTTGAACGGGTCATTGGCTGCATGTAAACGTAGTCACTGTCTTGATTTGTGTTTAAATGAAAGTGCAATAATTATGTTGAAATGTAAAAACAAAATTCTCCAAAGAAAAAAAAACAATTTTTGAGGAAAATAATCTTTGATTATCTGCTTAACCATTATTGTGCAGCTTTAATGTTTGATAAAAAAAAAAAATAGATAGAAAAGGATGTGACTCCCATGGGCCTCCTTACTTTTAGCTTCCAAGTTTTTTCCTGCACTTACGGGAATGTTTTTCAAGGATCTGCTCAATTATTTAACCGTTTCTCCATTTTAACTCAAAGCTCTTCTTGTGTTGGAGAGCCTTATACAGCATTAATGCCATACTTTCTTTATGGTTTGTGTAGATATGAATTAAATTTTGGTGGCAATATTTGTGTTAAAGTCAACATGGAATGAAAAGTGACCTTTTTGTTGACTTTATTAAGCACACAAAAGCATATTCTCTTTACAACTTCTAAACAGTGGATAGTACAGGATGTATTTTACAAAGAGAGATCTCTGTTGGTTTTACTCCTCTCATGGCAATCT